ATAAAATAAAATAAGGAAAGGAAAGGAAAGGAAAGGAAAGGAGAGAAAGGAAAGGAAAGGAAAGGAAAAAAAGTGATCTCTCCCCCTCGACACCTTTTTCAGAAGGAAAAAACTGACCACTCAAAAGAACAATGGAAATGACTTGACAAAATAGTGAAATAAACTGGAGGGGAAAAAATCAGTGGTTTTGGTGAACTTATTTCAGTTACGGTTATCTTCCATGTTACTTGTAACTAGACTAGGGGGAAAATATAGAGATAAATATGATTTTCAGATTGACAGTGTATCACAACTGTGATGTGGGTGATCTGAGCAGAAATCGAGAGCCAGGAGGCAGGCTGGGTCAGGTTTCCAGGAGATCAGAGGGGCACCCTGGGAGTCAAGCCCAAGAAGTGGTCTGGGTCAGGGTTCTAGGAAGTCAGGGTCAGGCAGCAGAAACAGGTATTGCAGGGGAAGCAGTCCAGAGCAGGGAAAATGCCACCGATCACTTCCTCTTCCTGCTTGGTTTAAATAGAGGCAGGGAACCAATCAGTACCTCAGACTTTGTCCAACCAAATCCCAGGATTGGAGTCCTCTGCCAAAGTAGAACTTCAAGTTCTAGCAACTGTTACCAGGTCATTGGGTGGCAGGTCAGAACATACTGGCTCCCTAACACAGTGTCTCTCAAACTAGATCTAATAACACTATTCTAATCTTTATAGCTTCTTTTATCCAGAAAAAGGCGACAAAGAGTCCTGTGGCACCTTATAGACTAACAGACGTATTGGAGCATGAGCTTTCGTGGGTGAATACCCACTTCATCAGATGTATTCACCCACGAAAGCTTATGCTCCAATACGTTTGTTAGTCTATAAGGTGCCACAGGACTCTTTGTCGCTTTTTACAGATCCAGACTAACACGGCTACCCCTCTGATACTTTTATCCAGAAAGAATCCCAACATGCACATTTTTCCAAATGATTTATAATCTTACATCTAAAATTATGACTGCGCAATGAAGTTTGGATCTGCACTTTTCTTGAATTTGGGAGTGTTTGGATATGGGATTTTGGCTTGGACCCATTTCTGCGTATAATGGAATTGCTTCTTACATGACTGAACAGTTGCTACTTCTAGGGTGAACCATAGTAGCTCTAATGTAACACAGCAGCACCACAGAGTATGTTAGTACAGGAGGCAGAAGTACATTGGCTCATGGAATCACAGTGTGAATATTAGTTAGGCAAAATGTTATCACTCTGATTGGAGTGTGGCTTAGACACATTTAAACCTAACCTCCTGCTCTGGACAGCTGGAATTTATAATTTCTTATTTATATGATGAGGTATACAGTTCCTTTGGGACAGTAACGGGCCATCTTTATACCCATGACATCCAGTGCCTCGTATACCTGAGAGAAGTCCAAGAGACAAGTTTGGGCTAAAAAGCAGTGGACTGAGGAGCACATAATTACATTTGGTATTAGGGCTTGTCTACAGGGTGCATTAGTCCGCACTAGGATTTTCAACCCTTCAGTGCACACTAGCACGTTAGCAAAATGACTGGTCCATCTACACCCAGCTGGTACACACTGTAAGTTCTATAATGGCCATTAACAAAGTTCGGTTTCAAACACTGCTATGTTAATATGCCCTAGGGAACTTTTAGTGCATGCCAGTAGGATCCACATGTGCCAGTTAGTGCATAAACACACTAGTGTGCACTAGAATTTACTCCAGTGTGGACTAATGCATCACGAATACAAGCCCTTTGGGAAATTATGGCATTAAGAATCCGGGGTGGCTCTAGCTTTTTTGCCGCCCCAAGCACGGCAGGCAGGCTGACCTTGGTGGCGCGCCTGCGGGAGGTCCCCGGTCCCGCGGATTCGGTGGCATGCCTGCGGGAGGTCCGCCGGTCCCACGGCTTCAGCGTACCTGCTGCCGAATTGCCGCCGAAATCATGGGACCGGCAGACCTCCCACAGGCATGCCGCCGAAGGCTCCCTGACTGCCGCCCTCGCAGCAACTGGCAGGCCGCTCCCCCATGGCTTGCCGCCCCAGGCACGCACTTGGAGTGCTTGTGCCTGGAGCCACTGCTGTTAAGAATTATATTGCCTAGTGCCTGATCCTAATCAGAAATGGACTGGAACTCCTGAAATGTGAAAGGGCCTGACTTCCCCTTCAGCTCCATGGACGTGAGGGAAAAGCAGTTATTCTCATTGCTAAATCTAAATCATAGCAGGCAAAATTTAGCTAATTTTTTAAAAAAAGAAATATTTGATTCTCTCTCAGGGAGGGAAAGATAAAAACTCCTTGAGAAATGGTTGTAAACCATAGAGAGGACTCTTTGCCCCTGCTTTATCCTGAAGCCAAATAATTGTCTATGTATGGTTTTTTTTAATTAATTGTTTTCTCACCCTTCAAAAGTTGACAGTAACTAGAGTAATTCCTGGGTCTGCTATCATGGAAGCAGAAAAATCTAATCCCATAAATGCCTTACTTACAAAAGGGTTTGAAGGGTTGGGTCTTCAATATGTAACCCATTTTCAGAGAAATTTTATTTTCCTTGTGACAAAGGCACAGCATGTTTGTGGGGAGAATTCCCAGGGCACACTTTGGCTGTGCCACACTACAAATGATGACGTTTGCTGTTTGATCCTTGACTAGTGACACTA